AGTTGTTCTGTTACAGGGATCCTGCGTGAAGTGCGCCTCGGATTGTATCGACGTTCGTCGGCTTCCACACGCGCCAGGCTGACCCATCTTCCACACACTACCCTGTATGACATTCCCCGTATCATTCATCCATCCGCTTCTGTCGTCCTCACGAATCACGGTTTAGGGGACACATCCTTGCCCTTGCGCCCTCATCCTCCCCCGGCCGTCAATGTCCGTTCCGGACTTCACGGGAACTGGTTCTATAACCCCAAACCACTCACGACTACTCTGGTGTCTTGACTTAATATGTGTGGGTCGTAGGCGCCCTGTGACAATCTTTCCCTCGTATTGTTTCCGCTAGCCCTGTCCTCGGGGTACGCCTGTTTCCAGCCACACGCATGGTCCAGGAACTGAATCCTGGCTGCCGACCTCCCGTGCCCTTGCTCTACGGCGAGGCTATGTTATTGAAAGGCGGTGTTCTTCATCTCATGGCGGAGAACTATCTTACCGCCATGCCCGTCGTCGAACAGGACTCGGGCCGCTTCGTGGGGGCGCTGACCAGCCGCGACATACTGGAACTGGTCCTGAACCGGGGTCGGGCATAACTTCCAGTCCAGGGTTCGGTCACTACCGGGTTTAGCCACCAGGTCCCTCCCACAAGGGTTCTGCAACAAGGCTGTCCGTGCCGGCAGGGTGGGACTTTCCACCCGAGTCGAATTAGCCGCTGCCCAGGCGTCTCCAATATTGCAAACCCGCCGTGCTATGCTATAATCTCGTTGGTTCCCGTTTTGAAGCTGTTTTTCGTACTTGCGGGAGCTTGGCCCTTGGTGGCCGTAAGACCCAAGAACCGCTACTTCAGAGGAGCAAGAGAGAGAATGGCCTACATAATTACCGAACCCTGTGTTGGTCTAAAGGACGCAGCCTGCGTGGACGTTTGCCCGGTTGACTGCATCTACACCACCGACGACGACGATATGTATTACATCAGCCCGGACGAGTGCATCGACTGCGCCGCCTGTGAGCCTGTCTGCCCCGTAACCGCCATCTTCGCCGAGGACGCCGTACCCGCTCAGTGGGGCCCTAGTGGCGACGTGGACTACATCGCCCTGAACTACGACTACTTCAAGAACACCGACCCCAACACCCTCAAGCGCAAGTAGTCCAGGCTAAGAAACTGTCTTAAAAGTCCCTTCACCCTTGATGGGGGAAGGCCGGGATGGGTGTGACGGCTGGCGAAGGGCCATCATTGAGAATGCCACCTCCGGTTCAGAGATAGTTCCTAAACCCTCCGGCAAACTGAAAAGACCTCCCCGGGCGCGCCAAACGAAAACCGGCCAGCCCGTGAGAGGTCTTTTCTCTTTTTGCCGTCGGTATTCTCCAGGATCACCAATAAACTGGCGCTTGGTGATTATCCGACCCATTCGCGGATATTCACTACCACACAATTTGGTTCCAGCAATTCCCCCCAACACAGGACAAATGGCGTTCGGTTCCGTTCATCAGGACTCTGGTGCTTCGGGACACCAGGAACAAATAGGTTTGTCCCTCGACAAACCTGTTCAGGTCGCTGAAATCGCCAATCGTCGGGTCATAGAGATACCATTTCTTGGAGTTGTTGTCGAAACTGAAGACCCGGACCAGGTCAGGGTTCGCTTGGAACAAGTTGGCTGCCCTATCATCAAACCGGGTTTCGGAACTCGCGGTCAAATAAAAACCCCGAGTAATCTCTCCCGATTCCCATTGAGTCCAGTCTTCTCTGGCCGGACTGTCCGCCACTGTAAAGGTAATGGCATCCTCTGACCGGTGGGTGTGGATGCTGAACTTCCCGTCGGCTGTGGCCGTGGTGGCCCCGACCAGCTTGGTTCCGGCGTAAGCATTGATTGGAGTTCCCTCCGATACGGCAAGACCATCAACCCGGGCCGTCCCGACAAATACGTGGGGCGGTTCCTGCCCGCCGGGCAGTTGTGGCGGAGGCGTGGGCGCAGGGGTAGCCGTAGGTGTGGGAGTCGGCGTAGGGGTAAACTCAGGAGTCGGCGTGGGAGTCGTCGTGGGAGTCGGAGTAGGAGTCGGCGTGGGAGTAAACTCGGGTGTCGGCGTGGGAGTCGGAGTAGGAGTCGGCGTGGGAGTAAACTCGGGTGTCGGCGTGGGCGTGGGGGTATTGGTAGGCGTAGGTGTGGGAGTATTCGTAGGAGTTGGTGTGGGCGTAGGTACCCCTGTTACCGTGAAGCCTGTGCTGACGGTAATGTAGCCCACCTGGACCTCAATGGTTTGGATACCCCCGTCGATGCCGGGAATAACGATGTCGAAAGACGTCATGCCATTACTGTCAGTGGACGGCTTGGGCGCCGGCGTTACTTCGATGGAGCCAATCGTCACGCTGGCTACCGGTACGAAGGCCTTAAAGCCCTCCCCACTGATGGTTACCGTGGAACCGGGGTCGCCGCTCGTCTGGCTGAGGCTGATGCCCCCCGGGCAGCACAGCGTGGTTGGTTGTATTTTCCACTGACACGCCGTCATCATCCTGAAAGTTTGCCCTTACTTGGTTAATAGTGAGAGCAGTCGCCCTGCTAGGAATACGAATTTGCGTCTCGAAATCGCCGCTGGCATCGGGTGCAACGGTTAAAGAGGCGAGTACTTCGCTACCTGTGTCGTACGTAATCGTCACCGAAAAGCTGGAACCGTTGTCATTCTTGCCAGGGAAGTTCTCGCCGCGAATCGCCGCCAGCGTACCCACTCGGCTCGATGTGGGAGTGATGGTCAGGTTGCGTGACGGAATGGTTATCGCCACGGTCCCGCTGACGCCCTCCGCGTCGGTTACCTCAATGGTCTTGTCCCCCGACCCTGTGGTCGCCGACGTCAGGGGCAGGTCCACCGACGTAGACCAGTTGCCGCCGCTATCGAGGTTCACCGTGTTCCCGCCGTTAATCCGGTCCCACGGAATGTCCTCGCCACCTATGGAGATGCCGGATACCTGTTCTTCTCCCTCCGCCACTTCGCCAATTTCGGAGTTAGGGGTGAATCCCGTCGCAGTCAGGCTGATCCGCTGGTTTGCCACCGCCTGGTTGGGTGTGACTGACATCTGTGGACCGTCATTCTGGGCAACGGTCGGAGCAATTCCCCCCAGGAATAATGCAAACGCCACCAGCGCCGCAATGAACAGGGTGATGGCGACAGAGTAAGCAAGCCTCTTTCCCACGTAATCCCCCCCGAAAATGCTTGTCTGGCCCGGATTATATCAGATAGCCCCCCAATACCCGGGCAGTCGCCCCTTACCATAAGGTCATTCTGAGCGAAGCCGAAGAATCTAAAATCCCCGCCTGCAACCAGCTTGGGCCGCATAGGTCTTTCTAGGGAAGGATTTCGACCCCTCAGCCGGTTTAAGCTGCCCTGCCTGTTGGGCAGGCCTCAATTCCCCACCAGGAAAATTCCCACCGCGCTTTCCCCGCTTCATGTCACCCGCCCCTTGCCACTCCGCATTACCCATCTCTACCATAATTTATAACTGGCCACGGGAATCCCAATTTCCCCGGCCAAATCCAACTTCTGCCACTGAGGCAACGCGATGTTTCATGCCCGCAAAACACAGAAAAGCCCGTCGCCGTCCGTCCCGTCCCTCGGCATACCGACGGCCCCAGCCCGCTTCCCATCCAAACAATAGCTCCGGCCCCAACCTGCCCTTCGGCCCCGTACCACCGGACGCTGACCAGCCCGCGCAAACCACCGAATGGTCGGAAATGACCGAAAATGGAGGCAAAAGAAGTATGTCCAGCCTGAACTTTCGCCAGCAGGCGGCCCTCCCCGTCATTGCCGCCGCCCCATCGGTTGCCCAGGCCGCCCGCGACTCCGGCGTCGGGGAGACTACCCTGCGCCGCTGGCTCGATGACCCCGCCTTTCTTGAGGACCTTATCCGATATCGCCAGGAGACTGCCGGTCTCGCCCGCCAGGAACTTCAGGCCCTGATGCTTCGTAGCGTGTCCGTAATTGCCAGCGCCATGGAGGACCCCAACCCGGCTATCCGTCTCCGCGCTGCCCGTTACGCCCTGTCCTTCGGTTTCAAGATTTCTGAGGTCGAGAAACTCAGCGAGGATATCCAGGAACTCTCCGATTCCCTGGAGTCATCGCCCCGCGTCAATCCCTACCGGTAAATGCCAACCCGCTCATCCCGAGCTTGTGGAAGGATCATCCGACCCGTAGATGCAACCCCTGTGGTTGCCCTGGGCATGGAAGAGGCACCACCACTGGCAACACTGCCCCAGCTACAAAATGGGGGAAAATGAGCGGAAATGGCAGGAAAACCAAAAAATAATTAGCGAATGTTCGTGCCTAATTCGTGGACAAAAACATCAGGAGGCAATCCCATGACCCTGTCCCAGATCAGAAACCGAGTCCAGGCCCTGCACGCAAATACGCCAAGGAACTGGCCGTGTACCGTCTCCGCCGCCAGGCCGAGGAAATCTTCCACGACTGGAACGCCACCGTCGCCGACGGCAAGGAGGCCCCTGAATCGCATACCGTAATCTGGCGGATAGCCCAGCGCGGCTTCCGCCTCTACACCTACACCTCCCTTCATCACTACCTTACAAAGTGCAAAGAAGCAGGCAAAAGCCCTGAACCCCGCCAGATCGTAAGTGTCCTGCTCCCCTGGGCCGAAACCGGCGGCTACCTGGAAGGGTTCCGCTGGGACTTGCCCGCCCAGGCCTGATCACTTCTCTTGTCCGGAGGCACGGGCCGGGGGTAACAGAAATCGCTTTGGCATACCACTTCCTAATTGACAGTGTGCCACCCTAGCTTTTAGACTACCGCCATAGCCCCCGCTTGCACTCGCTCTAACCCGGTGGTGCGAAAAGGGGTCGGCTTATAACGAAATAAGTAGGGAGAACCTGTTATGCCAACGATTGCGCCTACCAAAGAGTTGGTTTCCGAAGTCTACCAAAGGCTGGACCGAAACTTGACCACCGTCCGGCAATTCCAGAACCGGCCCCTGACTCTGTCCGAAAAGATCCTGCTGTCCCATCTCGACAATCCGGCGGAGACCGACCTGGTACGAGGCGAGACCTACGTCCAGCTACGGCCCGACCGGGTCATCCTGCAGGACGTGCTGGGCCAGACGGCCATTCTCCAGTTCATGCAGACCCTCCGGTCCACCACTGCGGTGCCCACGTCGGTCCACTGCGATCACCTGATCCAGGCCCGTGTTGAGGGCTCCCAGGACTTGCGCGAGTCCCTGGGCGAGAACAGCGAGGTCTATGACTTCCTGAAGACGGCGGCAGCCAAATACGGTGTGGGCTTCTGGGGCCCCGGAGCCGGCATCATCCACCAGGTCGCCCTGGAAAACTATGCCTATCCCGCCCAGTTGATGATCGGCACCGACTCCCATACCCCCAACGGCGGCGGCCTTGGCTCCATTTCCGTGGGTGTTGGCGGCGCGGACGCCGTTGAAGTTATGGCCGGCCTGCCTTGGGAGGTCCTCTATCCCCGGTTCATTGGCGTCCACCTGACCGGCGAACTGAGCGGCTGGACTGCCCCCAAGGACATCATCCTTTATCTGGCTGGCGTCCTGACCGTCTCCGGCGGCACCAACTGCGTCATCGAGTACTTTGGCCCTGGCACCAGCACCATTAGCGCCACGGGCAAGGGAACCATTTGCAACATGGGCGCCGAGTTGGGCGCGACCTCTTCCACCTTCCCCTATGACGAGTCCATGGCCCGCTACCTGCGTGCCACCAACCGCGCCGAGTTGGCGGAACTGGCCGAGCAGTACCGGCACCTGCTGGCCGCCGACCCCGAGGTTGCCGAGAATCCGTCGGCCTACTACGACCAGGTGGTCGAAATCAACCTGTCCGAGTTGGAGCCCCACCTGGTGGGCCCCCACTCGCCCGACCGGGCCCGCCCCCTCTCCCGCATGGCCCAGGAATTGCAGGAAGACCCCGGCCTGGTGGACGAGATTTCTTCGGCCCTCATCGGTAGCTGTACCAACTCCTCTTACGAAGACATGAGCCGCTCCGCCGACGTGGCGGAACAGGCCAAGGCCCACGGCATCGGGGCCGCGGTTCCCTTCATGGTTACCCCCGGTTCCGAGCAGGTGCGCGCCACCATTGAGCGGGACGGCCAGATGCAGTCCCTGTCCGACATCAACGCCACCGTGCTGGCCAACGCCTGCGGGCCCTGCATCGGCCAGTGGCGTCGGGTCGGCGATCCCGTAGGCCGCCCCAATACCATCCTGACCTCCTACAACCGGAACTTCCCCGCCCGCAACGACGGCGAAGCTTCCACCATGAACATCATCGGCAGTCCGGAGATCGTGACTGCTCTGGCTTTGGCCGGACGCCTCTCCTTCAACCCCATGACCGACACCCTTGTCGGCGCCGATGGGCAGGAGTTCATGCTGGAGCCGCCCAAGCCCGCGCCCGACGTTCCCCAGGAGGACTTCGATAAGGGTTCCTCTTCCTACGATGATCCGCCGGAAGACGGCAGCGACATTGAACTGACCGTGGCCCCCGACAGCGAGCGCATCCAGTTGTTGCAGCCCTGGCAACCCTGGGACGGCGAGGACTTCGTGGATATGCCGGTGCTGCTCAAGGCCCAGGGCAAGACCACTACCGACTCCATCTCCCCTGCCGGTATTTGGCTCCGCTTCCGCGGTCACCTGGACCGGTTCAGTGACAACATGTTCATGGGCGCCATCAACGCCTACACCGGCGATGCTGGCAAGGGCAAGAACGTGGTCACTGGCGAGGAGGGCGTTGGCTTCTCCCGCATCGCCCGCGACTACCAGGCCCAGGGGATCAAGTGGGTGGTCATTGGCGACTCCAACTACGGCGAGGGCAGCAGCCGCGAGCACGCCGCCCTGTCGCCCCGCCTGCTTGGCGGCGCGGCGGTTATCGTCCGCAGCTTTGCCCGCATCCACGAGAGCAACCTGAAGAAGCAGGGCCTGCTGGCCTTCACCTTCCCGGACCCCGCCGACTACGACCGCCTCCAGGAGGATGATCGCATCAGCCTGGTGGGCCTGAAAGACATGGCCCCCGGCAAGCAGGTTGAGTGCCGGATCCAGCACGCCGACGGCACCAGCGAAACCCTGATGCTCAACCACTCCTACGCCGAGTCCCAGTTCGACTGGTTCCGCCTCGGTTCAGCCCTCAACCTCTTCCACCAGTAGGAGCCAAAGCCGCCAACCGGGGTTGGCGGATGAGAATAAGTAAGGGGCGGGCAACTTAATGCCCGCCCCTCAGTCTCTCTCAGACCTGGTTCACTTGGAGCTTTGATATCTACCCGTCGTCCCTGCGAAGGCAGGGACCTCGACTCTTACGTCCTCTGGTCATGCCTCTGGCGGCGGTAACCCGGTGGTTGTCTAGGTTACACCGCCGCTAGTTCGGCAGCTACATCGGACTCCAACTCGCTGATGCCCTTGTATAGCCACTATACCAAGGATAAACAGCCAGATGGCGCCAATCATGAGGGCTGCGTTGCTGACAATGCTATGCGTAGTGAAACAAGTATTGGATCCGAAATGGTTCGGGCCCTTGAGCCGTGGATAGGAAAGGGCAAGTTGATGGGACAGGGAAAGATGAGCAGGGTTGTTGTTGCAGTGCCACAAAGGGGCGGCCTGGATCAGCAGAATTCTCGCTAAATCCAGCAAGCTAGGTTTGGCCACAGGGCTCCGCGCTGGAAAAGTCGGAGCACACGCAACCGGACAGGAGTTTCCAGTTCTGTTGCTTGGAGAACCGGGCGGGCCGGTAATCTATTGCTCCGCCCTCACCATACGATAGCCCATGCCCGGTACTGTGAGTATGTAGGTCGGGTTGCTCGAGCTGTCCCCCAGCTTGCGGCGCAAGTTCTTCACCACGGTACGCAGGGGCCGGGCATCGCCGGTTCTGTTTTCGCCCCAGACCCTTTGCAGCAGGTGGTCGTGGGTCATCACGCTACCGGCGTTGACCGACAACTCGGTCAGCAGCCGGAACTCGATGGCGGTCATGTCCACCGTCGTCCCAGCGACGCTTACCGAACCGGCGGCGTAATCAATGATCAGGTCTTCAAACGCGTAGGCCACCGGGTGCCTGGTTTCCTTCCGCAGGGCCGCTCTGACCCTGGCGGCCAATTCCACCGGCGAGAAGGGCTTGATAACGTAGTCAACCGCTCCCATTTCAAACGCCCGGGCGATAACCTCGTCCTGGACATAGGCCGACAGGAACATAACCGGCACGTCGTATTCGGCAAGAATGCTGCTCATTAGCTCTATTCCATCCGCGCCAGGCAGCATCAGGTCCAGCAATACCACATCAGGCGCGAAGGACTCCATTAGAGAGGCCACCTCCGTCGGGTCACCGGTCACATGTAGCTCGTAACCCGCGTTCGTGAGGGAGTCCCGGACTTGTCTTAGCGTCCACGGATCGTCGTCCACCGCGAGAACCCGCCTCACGCCCGCTCTCCCTGATCTCCTGTGACGGGCGGCCCCGCGGGATGAGTTGTATGGCGGCGCGCTGGCAGGCTCTTCCGTAACCGGCACTGTGAACATAAACCGGCTGCCCAGGCCCAGCCCGTCGCTCTCGGCCCAGATGCGTCCGCCGTGGGCATCCACAATTCCCTTGCAGATTGCCAGGCCCAGGCCCAGGTCTCTTGCCCGGTCCCGCTCGTCGATGTTGGAGGACTTCCTGAATAATTGGGGCAGGTGTTCCGGGGACAAGCCCCTGCCGTCGTCGGCCACGGTTATTGTGACGTATTCGCTGTCTGCCTCGGCGCTTATCCGAATGGCGGAGGAGCTGTGTGAGTTTCTTGAAGCGTTGGTGAGCAGATTGTTAAGTATCTGGATAATGCGGCGCCTGTCGGCCATGATAGAGGGAAGGTCTGGCGCCAGGTATATGTGAATGTTGTCCCGTCCGCCTGAGCTCAGGAGAGTGTTCTTTGCATCGTCCACCAGCCTGGACACGTTGGCAGGTTCGGTCCTTATCGACAGCGTCCCAGTTTCTATACTTGCCACGTCAACAAGGTCGCTGATCAGTTCCCGCATATAGTCCGCCTGCTCATTGATGATGCGATAGAACTGGTGTATTTCCGCCGGATCAAGAGATGAGGCGGATTCCAGCAACGTGGAAGCGGAACCCTTTATGGAGGACAGAGGGGTACGCAGTTCGTGGCCCACTATGCCGAGGAAGTCGGACCGTAGCTGCTCCAAGTGGCGCAGCGGCCCCATGTCCTGCATGGTCATTACAAGGGTCTCTACCCCGCCGTCAGCCGACCGTATGGGAGTGGCGTTCACCAGGATGGATACGCTGCGGCCACCCGGGACCTGAATGGCTATCTCCTCGGTGTGTATCGTTTCGTCGGCGCTCAACACTTCGGCTAGAGGAAACTCCGCTAGGGAGAACTGGTGTCCGTCGGCCCGACGAATAGCCACCCTGTTCAGCAGTTCCTCATCAGTAGTCTCTGGTTCGGACGGGTCGCTCAAGATCCTTCTTGCCTCGCGGTTAACCAAAACCAGGCTTCCCGACCGGGGGTCTACAGCCAGTATACCGATGGGGGCAGTGTCCACCAGGGTTTCCAGGTCAGTCCCGGCCCTTTGCTCGTCCGGATAATTGCGAGCGTTGCCGATTGCCACTGCCGCTTGCGAGGCAAACATCACGAGAGTCTGCTCGTCTTCCGGGGTGAACTCACGGCCAGACTCTTTGCTTGCCACATAAATGGCGCCAAGCCGCTCCCCCCGGTGCCGGATTGGCGCCGCCAGCAAGGATAGCGGGGAGTTTACCGGTCTGGGCGAACGAAGCTCGGGCAACCCCAGGGCCCTGGCATGACTCTGAAAGTCCTGCAAGCGCAGTGGTTCCTGCATCTCACTGAGAAACTCGGATATGCGCAACCCTCCTGGCATATCCGATAATTGGTTGGTTTCATCCGGAGTAAGGCCGGAGGTTAGACGGTCCTCCACCTGTCCCGTACTGTGCAGCAGGACGATAACCCCGTATAAGGAGTCGGTCAGCAGGCGCGCGCTGTCCACAACTTCTTGCAAAAGAGATTCAACATCGGGGCTATCGTTTATGCGCGCACTTGCCTCTGTCAGTTGTGACAGGCGTTCTCGCAGGGTTCTGTTTTCCTGTTCCAGGTGTTCAGGGAAATCCATATTTAGCCTCTCTGGGCCCCTGATTGACGTCGCACAATAACGTACAGAGAGATGATAGATAGGCAAATAGTGTACATTAACCTACTTGTAACGTACTAATTATGGATCAAATGCTATCGAATAGGCTTCAGGCTCGCAAGGCGTTGTCATTCATGATCCTGCTTGGCATTGTTTGGATAGGAAGGGGTTGATTCGGGTTCATACTTAACAGAATGATTCAGTTGCCGTGCCGTTTGTGCGTGAGGCTAATGGCAGGAAGCGTGGCTGTTACGGTCAATGCATTGGGGAGTGGATGGGTCGTGCGAGGCTTTGCAGGTGTGAGGTTGGCGGGGATAGTGTCTGGCTTACCTTCGCTCATTGTTGCAATGTTATAATCTCCGGAATTCGTTGTTTGTGGAGCGTAGGAAATGACCGACCTGAGGGAAAAGGCCCTGAACACCCTGGCCCGCCTGGGCGCCAGGCCGGCCACGTCATTTTTGGAGGACGGCGTAGCCAGCGTGGTGCGGGATGTATTGGACGAGGCTGGGGTGCCCCACCGCACCGACGCCTACGGCAACGTCATCGGCCATCTTGGGGGCGTCTCTGCCGATGGTTCCGTCCCTCCCATTGCCTTCATGGCCCACATGGACCACCCGGGCTTCGAAGCCGTGGCTAGGGACGGCGACTTCCTGGTCGGCTCTGCTATGGGCGGCGTACCCCAGTCATCTTTTGAGGCTGGCGTTCCTCTGCAGGTCCTGCTCCCTGACGGCCAGCGGTTGGCTGCAGCAACCGCCGGGCTGTACGGCGAGGCTTCGGAAAGGAAAACGCTTATCAGCCTGGCAGACTCAGGCCGTCTCGCTGAAGTGCCACTACCTTCCTCCGTGATATTTGACCTGGTGGACTTCCAATTGGAGGACGGTTATATCCGGATGCGGGCGCTGGACGACCTGGCCGGCTGCGGCAGCACCTTGGCAATGCTTAGTGTGTTGGCCTCGGAAAAGCCGGCCGGCGATGTGTACGGCGTCTTCACCCGCGCCGAGGAAGTAGGCCTGGTAGGCGCCCGCCTGCTGGCCGAGGCGGGCACCTTGCCCAAAGAAACCCTGGTTGTGTCCCTGGAGTCGAGCCGTACCCTGCCCGGGGCGGAGATCGGCGGCGGACCGGTGATTCGGGTAGGCGACGCCGGTTTCACCTTCAATGCCGACGCTGAGACGGCCCTGATTCGCGCTCGGGAGACTCTGCAAGCCCGCCCCGAGGGGTTCAAAGTGCAACGGCAGTTGATGAGTGGCGGCACCTGCGAGGCCAGCGCCTTTTCCGTGTACGGTTACCGCACCACTGGCATTGCCTTCCCCTTGGGCAACTACCACAACGGCGCCCCTGATGGCGGAATAGAGGCTGAGTATATCCACGAGGAGGACTACCTGGGTGGCGTAGAGCTGATGCTTGAAGCCGTCCGGAGAATGCCCGAACGGGAAGACACGGCCTTCCGCCGCCGCCTGCGGGAGATACCCGCGGAGTTTCGGGAAAGAATGCTGGGTCCTGAATGACCCTCCAGGGATTCGAAGAACCTGGACCCTGAAGAGTGCTTTGCAGGTGGACCCCGGCTGCCACACCAAGGTCTTTCATACGAGGTTCTGGCCCTTCGGGCGGGCACTGATGCTGG